TAATAATAATAATAATAATAATGATAATAATGATAATAAATAATAAATATAGTGACAAGATAATCAAAATAATAATAATTAAAATAATTATAACTAAAAATAATGATAATCAAAATAATTATAATTTAAAATAATAATAATAAAAAAGGTCAAATTATTATTTTTAAAATAATTTTAAATATATATTATTTTAAAATTATTTTAATTTCAAGTTAAAGAGGATAAAAATATGAGTGATTCGATATATTATATGTAATTTTTAGATTTAAAATGAATTTTCTATGATTTTTTGAAGTTAAAATAGTCTAAAATCAAGTTAAAATAAATAAATATCACTAAAAAAACTGCAGGCCGATACTTAGCAGCCCGGGATTGGTCCCGTGGTATGCGGACAATCATTGCATGGTGGCGTAATGATTGCGCCACCGGCAATGATTGCCAATGATTGTGACAATCATTGTCGTGGATCACGGTTTCACTAAACCACGTTAGCGTGGTTTTGTGGACGTCAGATCCGCGCTATTTTGAATGGATGATCGTGATGGAGTCGGACAATACACAGATCTGCGGGATCTATACAACGGTTGGACGGAGCCACGGTTAGGCCAAATCTGGGCTGTTGATCACAATATCAACGGTCCAGAACGCACCTAGTGAAACATCAGCCAAACCAAAGCCCTAAAATGATTTTTTGCTTCGTTCTCGCAAATGACTCAATGAAATTTCATGCAATTTTAAACATAAGTTCTATATATGAACATAAATCATGGGGTGGTATTTTTTGGCTTAAAAGTAGCTTTTCAAAAAGCTATTATATCTTATGTGTAGTGACCTATTATAAAGGTTTTTGAGAGATCTAACAGTTGGATTTTCATGTTTTTAGGTTTGTTGTACTTGTAGATTTCCCACGCTCCTATTTTTAGAAGAAATCGCGTTCTGAAAACCTCTAGATCGACAGGAATCTTCCTTGGAATGTTTCAAGCTTCGGTTGGTAGGAAATCTTGCTGCCGGTGAGGTTCACTGTTAGGTTTGACTTGGGAAAGGTGGGGGAAGATCGTGGGAGCTCTCTCACAAAGTTTCAAGAGCTCTCGAGGCTTGCGCTATGATCAAGAGCAAAAGATCCCTCCAAAGAAAACTAAAACATGTATTTAAGCCCTAGACCTAATACCAATGGCTAGGATTGAATCAAGGCATGATTGGGAGGGAAATAAACTCAAATTAGCGTGGTTTTGGATTAAAATCAATTAGGAATGATTTAATGTCTTTAAATAGGATTTA